TTTCTTTCTTTCTTTCTTTCTTCCTTTCTTCCTTTCTTCCTTTCTTCCTTTCTTCCTTTCTGCTTTTCTTTCTTTCTCTTTCTTTTCCTTTCTTCTTTCTTATTTTTTTTTTCTTTTTCCTTCCTTCCTTTTCTCCTCCTCCTCCTCCTTCTTTTTAGGAACACCTATCCCTACGTGGAGACAGACTGTGATGTATGGAACACATGTACAGAAAGATTAGTTACAAAATCTCTTTGAATTTATAACAATAAAAAGCATTAAAATCGTCCAGTCTAAAAATGTATTTGCAAAGGTTTTTACATTGTTGCAGATTTTTGTTCTTTTGTTTCTTTGTGCTTGTTTTGGTTAAGACCAATAAATTCCTCTTCAAAGCTTCCTTAGTCTTTCTTGCTCTGTACATAGCCCTTCCTGCTTAATCTGTAAAGATCACTTGCTTCTCTGCTTAATCTGTACACAGCCCTTCCTGTTTAATCTGTAAGGAGCACTTGTTTCTCTGCTTAATCTGTAACTAGCAAATCTTTTACTCTTACTCTGTGAACCACCTTTCCCGTGCCCAGACATGCCTTGTACTTCTTCTGTAAACACTTCCCGACTTAGCAAAGTACAGCTTCTCCCTTCCCGCCTAATTAGCCATATTCAATTTCAAACAGTAGCCAATAGGTTAGCTTAGACTGTGCGGTCAGACTCCAGCGAATGGGGAAAGGACACAGAAACAAGAATTGCCTTAGGGATAAAAACCCCTACCCTAACCTGCTAGATGTGCTCTTGCGATGGGCAGGAAGCAGGCAGCACACTTCTGCTGAAGTAAATGTGTCCTGCTAAGAAGTTTTCTGTCTAAGTACTGATTTTCTTTGTGGCACCAAGCACTTGTTTCCAACATCAGTGAGGGCAAAGTAATTACTAGTAGATGAGGGTAAGAGCTGAGTGAGGAGCCACTGAAGAAAGGGACTCTTTTCACAGAAACAGTATCTTCCCCACTCTATCTCCACTGGATGTCAATCAACCCATGCCACTGGTCATTTAGTAAAAACAAGCAAGCACACAGAAACTGCAGCATGCTTGCACACCTACACCAGATACTTTCTGTACACTAAAGAAATGGGGGCCCAGTGTGGTGGCTCACGCCTGCAACCCCAGCACTTTGGGAGGCCAAGGCGGGCGGATCACCTGAGGTCAGGAGTTTGAGACCAACCTGGCCAACATGGCGAATCACTGTCTCTACTAAAAGTACAAAAATCAGCCGGGTGTGGTGGTGCACACCTGTAATCCCAGCTACTCTAGAGGCTGAGGCAGGAGAATCGCTTGAACCCAGGAGGTGGAGGTTGCAGTGAGGCAAGATGGTGCCACTGTACTCTAGCCTGGGCAACAGAGCCAGACTCCTCTGAAAAAAAAAAAAATTAGAAGAACGAAAGAAAGAAAGAGAAATGGGGAAGGAGAAAGTAAAGGATAGAGAGAAGGGAGAAGGATACTCTACCAGTCTCTACCAGTCAAGTTGTGATGGAACCATATGGTGATTTTCACATGAGAATGTCTGCTTGGTCTGTGGGAACAGAGTTATAAGGTAAAGTAGCATGTGTGTTCTTAGTAGACACCTTTTCTGCTGCTGGAACACATATATTCTATCTTTGTCCCCCATTTCTGTCTGTGCAGGTGTGTCTGTTTTACCGATTGCTGCCCATAAAACTGGAATCTGGTCTGTCTCATGAACAAACCCTGCCATTCGATGTAGGCTTCCACTCACTCAGTAAGTGATTTGTGCCTCCTTCCTTTCTGCTGCAGTCCAGCACCGTCCTACCTGCCACCTTCAAATACACAGGGTCATTGTCCTCAGTCTTGATTCAGACCTTTCCTTGGCCACAGTGGAGCCTGAAAGCTTCGGCTTCACAAAATTTCCTGTGAGGCTCCCTGTAAGGGGCTCTTAAGCAGGCATGGGCTTTGGGAAGGATTAAGCATTTTTCATGAACCTAAGCCTCTCTTCTGTTGTCTTCCGTCAAACACACACACGGACGCTAGAAAAACTTGATTCTTTGTTTTCATTTTAAACAAGAAGTTGACTTAAAAAACAAGACGCTGGAATTGGAGGGAAAACTATTCAGGATTCAGTTTTGTTTCTTTACTTCCTTGCTTTCCTTCCCTTCCTCCCTCCTTAAAGGTCCTAAGTCTGTGCCAGACTAGCAAACTAGCAAGCCAGCGAGGATGCGGCAGAGCTTTACTAGTGTTTTTATTACCATTCCTACAACAGCAGCAGCAACAACAACTACTGCTTCTAATAGTGGTGATAACTATAGTAATGATGAATAACAACAGTAATTGTAATTGTTGATGTTTAGTTTATATATTTATAATTGATAATGTCCTGCAATTTACTTTAATAACTTTTATGGCATGTTACTTTCGGCATAAACCTCTGGACCCCTCCACATTCCACCTTAAGGATGAATTTCACATATGGCCTTATGGCTGCCCACCTACCGGTGTGGGCCCTCTCTCCCCTCTACCCCTAGACCTAAAATCTGGTTGACTTTCTGAGAACACATAGTAGCCATGGCACTCATATAATCCATTTGATAACTTTCTGGAGTGGCCACATCCGCTGCCTGCCAGTGGTAGCCCACCACACCTCATGTTGGTTGACCTGGACTGGGCAAAGAGGAGCATCTCTAGGGAGGCTCAGGTCTGACCCTCTCTCCTCCATCATATGGGAGGGATCTAAGCATGGACAGTGGAAGCCTTCCAGCCCCACTCATACTCACTATTACCTGGCCTGTGGCAACCCCTGAAACAGGGGTGGAGAGGCAGCTCCAACCACTTCCAAAATCCATCCCAGCTAGTAAGCAAGCCCCAGGAAAGTGGAGTAGAGGCAGGATGACCCCTGTCCCTTAGCCTTGGGGTGCATTGGCCACCTCCAAAAGCCCACAGGGTAGGTGGGGCCTCCAGCCCACTCTACTGGCACAGGTAAAAACAGCTCAAAAGACCAGCTATCGCATCAATACTGCAGGGTTCACAGCAGGACAGCGATGAACACTGCTCCCCACAGGGTGGAGAAAGAAAGAAAGGATGAACTTTGGAAGGGTGCAGTGGCTTATGCCTGTAATCTCAGCACTTTGGGAGGCCCAGGAGGGTGGATCACCTGAGCTCAGGAGTTTGAGACCAGCCTGGCCAACATGGTGAAACCCCATTTCTACTAAAAATGAAAAAATTAGCCAGGCAAGGTGGTGTGTGCCTGTAATCTCAGCTACTCAGGAGGCTGAGGCAGGAGAATCGCTTGAACTGGGGAGGTGGAGGTTGCAGTGAGCCGAGATCACACCATTGCACTCCAGTCTGGGCAACAAGAGCGAAACTCTGTCCCCTCCGCAAAAAAAAAGTATGAACCTTAGGAGCACCCTTGTGTGCTGTGGGACGAACGCTCATGACAATGATTTCAATAAATGTATCAGAGTGAGGGAGCTGCTCTACTATGTAGGAAACCTCTACCCAGGAACAGTTTGTCTCTGAAGGGTTAACACCAGGCTCTGCAAGAACGTGCATTACCTGATGGAGTGCCAACAGGACCACACTGGTTTTTTTTTTTTTTTTTTTTTTTTTTTTGGTAGCAGTTCTGATGAGCAAACAGAAAGGCTTGACCCTTTACATGTACATGGTTCCTTGGGTCTAGTGGGTAGACTTAGATTTCACAGTACAGACAAAAGTTTTGACTGTTCTTTCTCAGTGGTCAGTAACTGCCCTGCAAGTGTGGAGAAAAACAGGTCCACTCTGCCATAGGTGGGGCAGGAGCTGGTGGTTTGAACCATGAAGTGCACTTGTGAATCATGTGGCCTTGGGGTAGCTGGTAGAAGCCTAGGACATAAAGAGCCTTTTTCTCTTGGTTTGGGGTGTCAGGAGATGGGGTCTCAGTGCTTCAGTCATTTCAGGGTATGTGTTGGGGCCTCTAGGGCTCAGGGCTGGGATGTCACTGACTAACCACGCAATACCAAGTACGCAGCAGCTAAGGGGTATAGATTGTGTTGAGAGGAGAGTTGTAGCAAGTGTTTGGAAATAGCCATGCTCCTGCTGTTGTTGAAGTGACAAAGAAGTGGCTCTCTGTTTCTCAGTCAGGGATGAATGTCCAAAGCCCTGGGGACCCAGTATCATTGGAGGACTTCCATTCAAGTTCTATATGCTCTGGCAATTGCTAAACTTCAGAAAACAGAGGAGGTAAAACTTTTTGTAGCTGGTCTGGCCTTAGAGGTCCACAACCTGTCATCAATGATGCAAACTGCCCCATACTGCACCCTCATCCACTACCATATACAAAAATCAACTCAAGATGGATCAAAGACTTAAATCTAAGACCAGAAATCATAAAAATTCTAGAGTATAACATCAGAAAAGCTCTTTTGGAAATTGGTTTAGGCAAATAATTTATGACTGAGACCCCAAAAGCAAATACAACAAAAACAAAAATAAGTAAATGGAACCTAATTAAACTAAAAACCTTCTGAATAGCCAAAAACAAAACAAAACAAAACAAAAAACCAGCAGTCAACAGACAACAAACAAAAAATATTTGCAAACTCTACATCTGACAAAGAACTAATATTCAGAATCTATAAGAAACCCCCAAAAATTAACAAGAAAAAAAAACAAATAATCTCATCAAAAAGTGGATGAATAGACAATTCTCAAAAGAAGATATACAACAAACATATAAAAAAACAGCTAAGCATTACTAATTATCCGGGAAATGCAAATTAAAACCACAATGAGATATCACTTTAGTCCTGCAAGAATGGCCATAATTAAAAATTAAAAATAAATAAAAATAAATGTTGGCATGGATGTGATGAAAAGAGAACACTTTTACACTACTGGTGGGAATGTAAACTGGTACAACCACTATGAAAAATGGTATGAAAATTTCTTAAAGAGCTAAAAATAGAACTACCATTTGATCCAGCAATCCCCCTATGGGTACCTACCCAAAAGAAAATAAGTCATTATATGAAAAAGACACATGTACACAAAGTATGAAAAACTTTATTAGTAAAGAGTATTAGTAAAAAAAGTGTTTTGGCAGGAACTAAAAAAATGTTCAATCATTTATTAACGGAATGTCTATTTAATCTTATTAATATACTGCATACATGACAAGCTAAACATCAAAACCAGATAGTTCAAAAAATTTGATAAAATAATATAATAATTTTAGCATTTTCTTGTCTCACCTCAAGCAGATATAGAACCCATTCTCACTGATTCATGCTCCTTACTTTAAACATGATGATTACATGCTGGAAAAAACTAGATTTTCTGGATTATCACTTTTGTATTTCTTCAATGAGGCATTTGAGGGAATCAGTACTGGGCCTGGACGGGAAGAAATCATGATCACCATGAATAAAGGTAAACAAATAAAATGGATTTAATTTTTCTGTATCTTTGGACATTTGTCTCAACTATCTGGGCTAAACAACTGACTGTTTTCTTCCATATACCAAAATTAAGCATTTTGTATAGCAAAAGGCCAGTTTCACTGGAGGGAGCCTTGGGGAAAGAGAAACAGAGGGAGGAAGGATCCTGGGGGTTGAAAGATGAGGGTAGTAATCTGGTCTTCTCTGAAAACAGTGCCCCAAAACATAGCACCTTTAAACAACCAGTAATTAATATCTCACAATGTGTTGGAACCAGAATAGGGGCGTAGCTTGGTTGGGTGTCTCTGACTCAGGTTCTTTCATGAGGTTGAAGCTGAAGTGAGGGATAATTTGTTTTCAAGCTATTGTGGCTGTTGGCAGAATTCAGTGTAGACTGAGAGCCTGAGTTTTTCTTGGTCTATTGGCCTTGTCACTCCTTCAGTTCTCTGCCATGTGGACCCATACACAGAGCAACTCATAACATCAACATTGGAGCTTGCTTCTGCAATGTGAAGAATACAACAGAGAGACCCAGAGAGAGACAGAGACAGGAACAGAGATTGAGGGAGCAAACACATGACTGAGTAGAAGGGAAATTACACTGTTTTCGTATATAATCCTGGGAGTCATGATAGACTGATGGTCTAGTTTCTCCCAAATTTATATCTCGAAGTTGTAACCCTTAATGTAATGATATTAGGAGGTAGAAGATAATTAGGTCCTGAGGATGAAGTCCTCATGAATAGGTTTACTGGCTTTATAAAAGAAATCTCAGCGAGATTTCTCTTGTTCTCCACCAGGTGAGGATACAACCTGAAGTTTGCAGTCGGCAATTCGGAAGAGTTCTCACCAAAGGCCGACCATACTGGCATCCTGATATTCAACTTCCAGACTCTGCAACTGTAAGAAATAAAATTTCACTGCTTATCAGCCATACTATCTATGGTTCTTTGCTATGGCAACCTGAAGTTTGAGGTGTTACCCTACCATATTTGTTTTATTCTGTTGGTCAGAAGTGAGTCACTAACCTCTTCATGCTGGAAGAGGTTATGCAGCTGCTCACTTTATGTATCAAGGTGAGGCACATGGGTCTGATTCTAAATATAATGAGAAAACACTGGAAGGCTTAATGTAAGAAAATGACAATATTTGAATTTCATTTAATTTCGACATCTCATGGCACAAAATTAAAAATAAGGCACAGAGAGAAAATTACTCTCCCAAGATCACACTGCTGGACCCCAGGCCTGTTTCAATTATATATCATGCCACCTCCCACCCCTTATAGTAATTTTTGCATCTTTAAGTTTGCACATTATCTACTTATGATGCCATACCTTGGGTTTTATAAGTTTTACCTCATATACACCTGATGAGTTTCCTAGGAAGAAGATTCTAGCATTGTTGCCATTGTGCATGTTGGGTGACAGAGAAGGTCCTGAAACACACACTGACTTGTCTAAGGTCACAGAAATAGTAAGACAAGATGTTCTGACCTATATCTGTTTCAAGCCTGGGTCCTAGACCATATCCAGCTCTTCTCAGGAAGCTGAGAAAGGGGCTAGGGGCTGTGTTCTCATGATTGTGGACAAGGGAGGAGTTTACATGGGAAAGGAGGGTGAGCAGTCAGGAGCCCAGCAGGGCCTGTGGGTCGGTCTTGTTAAAGGAAGGAGCCCAGGTGATGGAATCTTGAAGTGACCTCACTTCCTTAGTTACAAACGCCAAGCGAATTTAGAACTCTGGTAAACTGGGACCCTCATTTTAGAGATAGCCCTGTGTTTAGTTAGAAGATTCTGAAGACAGCAAGATGTTTTCCTGCTGTATCTTGGATTTCTGAGGCTCTCACCTCAGGAAGGCTTAAACTGAGAGCATTTGCTTATGATGTAGACATTGGCTCATTTCTCATCCCTGCCTCTTGTGGAAGGGGGCACCCATAGGTAATAGAAGGCCACGTGGGGCAGGCCCATCCAGGCCAGGCCTCACCTTTGATATCATCTGGGCAACCCTACACCTCTCCTTATCACCATGTCTTATGGGAAAGAAAGAGATAATGGGTCCTTTTCTGACAGGAGCAGGTTTTCAGCTGTTGAGAAGCTAACACATCTGCCAAATTTATACCCCAGGTTATGGCTGGTAGGATAGAAAGTTAAGTGCTGGGGACTACCTTTATCTGTTCAGATGTTTATTCAAAAACTTCAAGCTGTCATCTGAATTTCTCCCTGGGAGGAGGTCAAGGCGAATGTTGCTTTGTGCCTGATCTAAGGGGCAGAATTTTTAATGGGGGTGTCCCGTGTGGTGAAACCCAGGCATGCCATTGACACCTCTTGGCCAGGCTTGCAGGCATTCTCTTTGCAGAGCTCCATGAGGAGCTGTTTGATGAGTTCAGCTACTTTGTCTCATTGGACAAAGAGCAGATACACCATGTCAACAACCATGGGCAGGGTTGGTCTGGGATGGAAGTGGGCACAGTGGGGTCTCCAAAGAGACCCAAAAGACTAAGGAAGGCCCAAGATCCAGACCCAAATATGAGGACTCCCTGGAAAACGTTTTAGAATTTCCTCAATTAAGTGTCCCAAAATCCCTTCCCAAAGGAATCTGGCGTCCATTAGTCCATAATAGCAACTTAGGTGCACAGTCACCAGTCATATACTTGTAGAAATATCAAAGAAAACACTTTTGTGCTGTTTTTACTTTACACTAGGCCACGAGTGTCTTTGCAGGTTGCTACTATGTTTATTGCTTTAACTACCCACCCCAGATACCTCCTGCAACAGGCAGCTTCAATGTCCTCCCTGCCAGAACTTTTCTAAGATTTAAAAATGTACACTCTTACTAGAGAAGGGTTTTATCCAAATAGCGGGGGTTACACAGAAAGGGTCATTAGTCATCTCACAGAACTCATCGCTATAGCCCTGTCAGGGTAGGAGCTGTGCCCTCACATGTCTTCATGATATTTCATAAGGGAGAGCCTTTTACTCAGTAAGTAAGCCTTTTAATGCTGATGGATCCTGACATAATAAATTCTATTTCCATTTCACTCATGCTTCAGGAAACATCTTACGTGTGTCCTAATTGGCTATGACACTTTGCTATGGCTTCTGTAATAACACAGGCTGAAGTCTCTAACAACAAAAATTGAGTTTCTCACAGTTCTGGAGGCTAGAAATCCAATCTGAAAATGGTGGCTGGGTGTTTTCTCTGAGGTCCCTCCTTGGCTTGCATATGATCATCTTCTATCTCTGTGTCCACAAGATCTTCTCTTGTGCCTTTCTGTGCCCTGACTGCCTCTTCCAATGAGGGCCCCAGTTATGCTGAATCAGGATGTATCCCAATGAATTCACTTAACCTTAATTACCTTTGCAGAGACTATATGTTCAAATATAGTCACATTCTGAGTCACCAGGTACTAAAACATGAACACATAAATTTTGGGAAGGGGAACACAATTTAGCTCATGACATGTACTAATCCCTGGTAGATGACAGTCTCTCAAGAAAGAAATGACTCAGTTTAAGAACAGGCATATGTAAAGTTGAATAGCTAAAGCCAGATTGTGTTCCAGAAGGGCTGTGACAGGTACACTACCAACAAGAGTTTCTGAATGTATCTGCCATTTTGGATCCAGACTTCCCTGGATGTTAACCCTCTTTGAATTATTTGACAAACTGGTATCAAGGTAGCAAAGAAAATTATGTTTCAGGGGGCGCGCCCAAGATGGCTGAATAGGAACAACTCCAGCCTCCAGCTCCCAGCGTGAGTGACACAGAAGATGGGTGATTTCTGCATTTTCAACTGAGGTACTGGGTTCATCTCACTGGGGAGTGCCGGACAATCGGTGCTGGTCAGCTGGTGCAGCCCAACCAGCGAGAGCTGAAGCAGGGTGAGGTATTGCCTCACCTGGGAAGCACAAGGGGGAAGGAAACTCCTTTTCCTAGCCAAGGGAAACTGAGACACACAACATCTGGAAAATCGGGTAACCCTCACCCTAATTCTGCACTTTACCAAGGGTCTTAGCAAACGGCACACCAAGAGATTATATCCCACACCTGGCCCGGAGGGTCCCACGCCCACGGAGCCTCCCTCATTGCTAGCACAGCAGTCTGAGATCTAACTGCAAGGTGACAGCAAGGCTGGGGGAGGGGCGCCCCCCCATTGCTGAGGCTTAAGTGGGTAAACAAAGCCATCGGGAAGCTTGAATTGGGTGGAGCCCACTGCAGGTCAAGGAGGCCGGCCTGCCTCTGTAGACTGCTCCTCTGGGGACAGGCCATAGCTAAACAAAAAGCTGCAGAAACCTCGGCAGAGGTAAATGCCCCTGTCTGATAGCTTTGAAGAGAGCAGTGGATCTCCCAGCATGGAGGTTGAGATCTGATAATGGACAGACTGCCTGCTCAAGTGGGTCCCTGACCCCTGAGTAGCCTAACTGGGAGACATCCCCCACTAGGTGCAGACTGACACCTCACACCTCACACGGTGGGGTACACCCCTGAGATGAAGCTTCCAGAGCAAGAATCAGACAGCAACACTCTCTGTTCAGCAATATTCTATCTTCTGCAGCCTCCGCTGCTGATACCCAGGCAAACAGCGTCTGGAGTGGACCTCAAGCAAACTCCAACAGACCTACAGCTGAGGGTCCTGACTGTTAGAAGGAAAACCAACAAACAGAAAGGACACCCACACCAAAACCCCATCAGTACGTCACCATCATCAAAGACCAAAGGCAGATAAAACCACAAAGATGGGAAAAAAGCAGTACAGAAAAGCTGGAAATTCAAAAAATCAGAGCACATCTCCTCTTCCAAAGGAACGCAGCTCATCACCAGCAACAGAACAAAGCTGGACGGAAAATGACTTTGATGAGTTGAGAGAAGAAGGTTTCAGTTGATCAAACTTCTCAGAGCTAAAGGAGGAATGACGGAACCAGGGCAAAGAAACTAAAAACCTTGAAAAAAGAATGGATGAATGGATACCTAGAATAATCAATGCAGAGAACACCTAAAAAGAACTGATAGAGATGAACACCATAACACGAGAAATATGTGACAAATGCACAAGCTTCAGTAACTGACTCAATCAACTGGAAGAAAGAGTATCAGCGATTGAAGATCAAATGAATGAAATGGAGCGAGAAGAGAAGCCTAGAGAAAAAAGAGGAAAAAGAACAAAGCCTCCAAGAAGTATGGGATTATGTGAAAAGACCAAATCTAGGTCTGTTTGGTTTGCCTGAAAGTGACGGGGAAAATGGAACCAAGTTGGGAAACACTGCAGGATATCATCCAGGAGAACTTCCCCAACCTAGTAAGGCAGGCCAACATCCAAATTCAGGAAATGCAGAGAACGCCACAAAGATACTCCTCAAGGAGAGCAACTCTAAGACACATAATTGTCAGATTCACCAAAGTTGAAATGAAGGAAAAAATGTTAAGGGCAACCAGAGAGAAAGGTTGGGTTACACACAAAGGGGAGCCCATCAGACTAACAGCAGATCTCTCAGCAGAAACTCTCCAAGCCAGAAGAGAGTGGAGGCCAATATTCAACATTCTTAAAGAAAAGAATTTTCAACCCAGAATTTCATATCCAGCCAAACTAAGTTTCATAAGTGAAGGAGAAATAAAATCCTTTACAGACAAGCAAATGCTGAGAGATTTTGTCACCACCAGGCCTGCCCTACAAGAGATCCTGAAGGAAGCACTAAACATGGAAAGGAACAACAGGTACCAGCCATTGCAAAAACATGTCAAAATGTAAAGTCCATCGATGCTAGGAAGAAACTGCATCAACTAACGAGCAAAATAACCAGCTAATATCACAATGACAGGATCAAGTTCACACATAACAATATTAACCTTAAATGTAAATGGACTAAATGCTCCAATTAAAAAACACAGACTGGCAAATTGGATAAAGAGTCAAGACCCATCAGTTTGCTGTATTCAGGAGCCCCATCTCACATGCAGAGACACACATAGGCTCAAAATAAAGGGATGGAGGGAGATCTACAAAGCAAATGGAAAACAAAAGCAGGGGTTGCAATCCTAGTCCCTGATAAAACAGAATTTAAACCATCAAAGATCAAAAGAGACAAAGAAGGCCATTACATAATGGTAAAGGGATCAATTCATCAGGAAGAGCTAACTATCCTAAATATATATGCACCCAATTCAGGAGCACCCAGATTCACAAAGCAAGCCCTTAGAGACTTGCAAAGAGACTTAGACTCCCATACAATAATAATGGGAGACTTTAACACCCCACTGTCAACATTAGACAGATCAACGAGACAGAAAATTAACAAGGATATCCAGGAATTGAACTCAACTCTGCACCAAGCAGAACTAATAGACACTACAGAACTCTCCACGGTATCACAGCCAAATTCTACCAGAGGAACAGGTGGAGTTGGTACCATTCCTTCTGAAACTATTCCAATGAATAGAAAAAGAGGGAATCCTCCCTAACTCATTTTACGAGACCAACATCATCCTGATACCAAAGCCTGACAGAGACACAACAAAAAAAGAGAATTTTAGACGAATTTCCCTGATGAACATCGATGCAAAAATCCTCAATAAAATACTGGCAAACTGAATCCAGCAGCACATCAAAAAGCTTATCCACCATGATCAAGTGGGCTTCATCCCTAGGATGCAAGGCTGGTTCAACATATGCAAATCAATAAACGTAATCCAGCATGTAAACAGAACCAAAGACAAGAACCACATGATTATCTCAATAGATGCAGAA